TGCGAACGTCTTTCCATTTCGGTGCTTGCTTTCATGACTGTCTCCTTGCAACGACCGTGAACAAAACAGCAACTCAATGACGCAAACGTATCGGGGTTCAGAAGGAAAAGAGTGTGAACACAAACCAACCGAGGAGGAGGCAAAGGGAGACAATCGAACTTGGGTACGGTCCAGGCAAATGAACCAAGTGTGAAAGCACCCTTAGAGATTGTTCAGTTCAGATACCTAATGAGGAAACTGATTGTCTGGAGGTTTGGACAAATCAAGGGCCCTGATCAGTGAGCATTTTATTACTGTGTGGGACAACAACACAATCACGAGATATGAGCCATCTGTAAAGTTGTCAAAATTATCAATTTAGTTACTAATCAATACAAAACTGTAAAAATTTCATGCCAACATTTTGAGCAGGTTTTATTGTGACAGTCTTGGCCAGGGGTGTCCAAACTCGCATCTCACATCTGAACCAGCTAATCAAGCTCTTTCTAGGAATACTAAAACTTCCAGGCAGGTGTGTTGAAGGAAGTTGGAGCTAAACTATGCAGGACACCGGCCCTCCAGCTCTGAGTTTGGACACCCCTGGTCTAGGCCCTAGTGGGTTCATTGCTGAGTGGCACAGTGTAAAATAACTTTTTTTTTACTATTGTTTTTTTGTCTGTGCATTAATAAATTAAAAAGGGTAATTCTCAGTGCCTCCTTCAACTAATTACAGTTTTTTCCAACTGCTTAGACACATTTTCAAAACAGGGTCGCCATTTTTCAAAACTCCACACACAATTCTCAAAACTGCACACACAAAATGCAAAATGCCTCACATCTGTAACACTGCATTCAAAAGCCATAAACACATGTCAGACTGAAGCATTTGCATCGATCAAATGGCAAACACTTCCTCATAACTGTAAATCTTTGGGTATACCATGTAAACACTGTTTTTCTACATCAGGGCTGTTCAATTAGTTTGTCAAGGGGGCCAGTTCATGAAAAGCATCCCAAACGAGGGGCCGGAGAGATATGTATTGCAATATAAGTGATGACACAACAGCATATAAGAGCTCATATACTGTTTTTGTGCTCATAAAGACACCCATGTTGGCTTTTTGAACATTAAAACTTTAATATGTTGTATTTTGAAACTACATTACATCACTGCATTGTACAATGTGGCTATTTTTACAAACATAACCAAATGTTGTATTTCAAGGCACAAAATCAGTGTATTGCTGAAGTAGGCTTCTTCTAAATTCAGACACATTCATGTTGTGTTTTAAACTGCCTAACAATTAGGGATGCGACGATTATAGAGATGGAGGATAATCATGGTTTCACGGTTATCACCATTATTATGCATTTATTAAATTTAAAACACTACTAGTTTAGAAATTCACAAGAAAACTGCTTATATTTTAAAGTGTTGTTTATTGCTGCTCAAAGTAACCAAATACAGCACAAAATATGAATTAAACACAAACAATAGTCCATTTCTCTCTTTGACTTAAAAATAAATTAAAAAGTTTTTGATTTAAATGTGTGTGATAATTTTACAATGAAAATAAATGACAGAACAATGAATAAATAGATAATAAAAATAAGTATAAATAAAAAATTGTATTTGTCAAATGTTAATTCAAGCTTTATATTAGCTAAGAATGTAAATGAACTGTTGTAATCATCTGCGTTTATACATACATAATCATTTTAATCATTTGTAATAAATCATCTAACATATCTTTTGTTTACATAGCACTAAATGCCACCACTTGAGATCGTTTCATGAAGCGTGAGATCATTTCTAATGTGTGCTCCTGGAGGGCGCAAGTGCTTCGGTCCGCTTGCGAGCTGTGCGTGCGCCAGTCCCAATATGCGCACGTCTTTATTGGAAAAATTGTGCTTGCGTGTGGAAAAAACGCAATATGTGTGCGTAATGGCATAACTTTGTTTAGTTGCAGCAACTTTTTTCCGTACAACAGAAATGCGCCGTTGAGAATCCTTCGATTAATAAAAGCGTAGTTAATAGTGAAATCGGCTAATCATTGCATCCCTATTATTAATATCAGTGCATTGTACAAAAGGCTTTTTCTACCAACATATACAAATGTTTTCGGCTGCTTTCACCACTAGCTTAATGTTAGGTAACACACTCTCTACGCAGCCTTCAACTGCGCTTGAACAGACGCACGTCACTTCATAACTATATCGACCATTTTTCAACTGAGCTAAATTTATTTTTGATTTCTTGGTGACACTATTTGGAGGGCCGGAACAAATTGCCTTAGGAAATTAGTGTTTTCACATTTGAGCAGTGTGTGTGTGTGTGACCTGCTGAATAATAAGTGTACGGATTTTGATTGGTTGTGTTTGAAAAAGGAAAACAAGTAGCTTCCTGTTGGATTTTTGTGTTTTAGCTATTGAATTGTGTGTAGTGTTTGGAAAAAAGTGTTTTCTGCAATTGAAAACTGAGTTCAAGGGTAAGAAACAACTTTGGTTTTGAAGATTTGAGGTGTAGTTTTGCATTTTTAAGGGAGATGTTTCAGAAATAGTGTGACATTTTTGAAGATTTTGTTTGTAAGTAGTGGAAAAAACTATAAGTCATTTGTCCATCTGATTTGTTCAAAATCCTTATTCAGTCAGGATTGAAACAGATGAACTGACTTTATTAGTCACTATAGCATTTGATTAGTTCAAAAACAAATTCATTCAAGTAAACAGCCTTTATTATTCATTTAATCAGTTCGCTCGTCTAGTTTGTTCACAAAAATCTGATTATTTCTGAAAAAAGTAGCGAACTGTTTTTATCAATCACTGAATCACTAATTCAACCAATTTATTGTGATTTATTTTCGAACAAAACAATGAACATGCCCTTATCTGTTATTGAATAATTAATCCATTTTTGTTTTTTAAAAACAAGGATTCATTCTGAATTGAACTTCATTATGAATTAAAGAATGAACCAATAGTATCTGGATGCAGCCTTCATGATGAGAGCTGAGATTGCATCGCTCAGTGATGCAATGTCAGACACAATGCACTCAATGGAGCTAGTGACGTCACTGTGAGGGGTAGGGTTAGGGGTGGGTTTAGGCAACACATTAAAAAGCATTGGATGCAGCTCAAATTGCATCTACATCGAGTCTGCAGCCAGACCCCTCTCCAATGAACAGCAAAAATGGTGATGTATTCTGAAGTTCATCGAATAAACTGCTTTTATCAATCATTGAATTATTCATTCAAACACTTTGTTCAAACACACTTCTTCATTTTCAAATGAAACAAGTGAACTGCCTTAATTAAACACCAATTTGTTCACAATAAATAGACATAGAAATATAAAAATATAGAAATAAAACTCATATAACTATAGTACCCTGACTCTTCCTGAATGTATGTGCATTTCAGCGTCAGACATATTTCCTGTCATTGATTATGCATGCCTCTGTTGCGTAGCAACCTTCTGCTAACAAAAACATAATTTCTGACAGCAAAACCAAAACTTTTCTTTAGACCACCATAGATATTACTATTACTATTAGATGTCGCCTACCCTGTTGTTGTCTATTGGAAGCAATTTGTCAGTAGAGCTGCCATTTTAGCACAGGGTAGCACTCATTTCAAATGAATGTGGGACCAAGCTGCAGTGAAGGCCATCCAGAGCCAGAGATCTACACATATACACATATATCTATGATCGGGAGTTTTCCTGGTGGTCAGTATGCACATTTTGTTTTAAATTCCAAAAATTATAATTTTACATCACTTTTCTACGTTAATGGATCAGTGATCGCACGTGCATTCCTGACAAAATTATGTGTTTGTGTGCATGGAAATGTATTATCCTCCTTCCCTGTTAAATTTGATCTAATCATGTCTAGAAACACACACCCTCTCTTGCTTTCACTTCTCACACTGACGGAGGGAGCGATTAGTTTGTGAATGTATCCCCATTATGAACAACTCCTTCACTAGCCGACAATAATACATGTTTCTAGCAGCGCAGCATCTTGTTTTCATATTTCATTTACATTGTTTGCTGATTTTATTCAACAAAACTAGCATAGGCCTGGTACTGAGTGCGAGTTGGTGCTACTTTGCCTTATGGTGAATGCAGTAAGTGACTGTATTATCTTCAAAAACGTTACCTGTTTAGCACAAAAGTTTATAACACACAAATTGTAAAAAATGAAATCTTACCTATAAAATGTTCTGCCTTTGTGGTTGTTTTCTTTTTTTGCTCGTTACTATACCCGTACGCAGTGCTAAAAGTCCAGCATCTTCACGTTGTCACACTGTCTTGACTAGTGCTGTTGAATGACATTTGTGCTGTACAAATGTGGCGGCGCTATTGACACATGCTCAGGGACCATATGCGATATCTAGTGTACATATCCATGCCTTTAGACGTGTCTTTTAAACTTTCGAAAACAACATTTTCACTGCAGTGAAACATCTTTGCACTCCCACTTGTCAGAACAAGGTGAACTTACACATCTTTGCAGGAGGTATAGTAGCTAGTAACAATTATAGGCTGTATTAAATAAATCAAATTTTTAGGGTAATGGCATTTAAAGCGTAATTTTAGTAATTCAATTAGGTACATGGTCTATAGCAGTGGTGCTCAACCCTGTTCCTGGAGATCGACCTTCCTGCAAAGTTCAGTTCCAACCCTGATCAAACACACCTGAACCAATTAATTAGGACCTGAACAGCACTTGATAATTACAGGCAGGTGTGTTTGATATGGGTTGCAACTGAAATCTGCGGGAAGGTCGATCTCAAGGAACATGGTTGGTCACGCCTGGTCTATGGCTATTGTATTAGTAGTAGTTAATTGTATTCTGGTGGTTCCAGTTTTAAACAAAAGAGTGATTGAATCAATTAGTCATTCAGCTGACTCATTCAAAATGCTGATTCATTTTTAAATTAAATAAGTAAACTGTGTTTTGATTTAATCAAAAGGCCCATTGTAGTCATTTTAAGTGTTATTATTTCTTTTGTTCTAGACGACAAGCAGCGGCAGCAGCAGAATGAGTTCAGATGGAGGTGGGCGTCCTGTTAAGGTGGGCTCTTTGGTTGAAGTCATCGGTAAAGGTCACAGAGGCACCGTGGCTTACATCGGAAACACCCTCTTCGCTTCTGGAAAATGGGTGGGAGTCATTCTGGATGAACCCAAAGGCAAGAACGATGGGACTGTGCAGGGCAAACGATATTTCCTCTGTCAGGAGAACCATGGCATATTTGTCCGCCAATCACAGGTACTGCACTTGCTGCTTATATATAAACACTGACAGGGGAAAAAAATAGATGTTTTTCTTTGGAGTTCTTAGAAACTTCTGTGAACTCTTGCAGATTCAGTTAGTAGAAGATGGGGCAGATACGACATCTCCTGAAACGCCTGAAGCCCTCACCTCCAAAATGCTGAAGCGAGGTAGGAGAGCAGCTTCAGGCACAGACCGCAGCATCTGCATGCACGCATAGACGCCACGTAAAATTGTAATGAACTCTTTTTATTTTTCCTTCTCAGAGATAATTGAAGGCCTAAAGTCAAACAAAGTGGTGAGTGGGGAAAGGGATCTAAACAATGACGAACATGTTCTTGACAAATATGTTTCTGTGTATTGTGTACATTCACATCATGTTTTCCCAAACACACTCCACTGAAAAGGGATTAGTCATACTAAGTGAGAATTTTGCAGACAAGAAAGATCTGTCCTGAGCCACCGGTTACATTTAGATTTTGGAAACGCCAAGTTTATCTGCAATTGTTGATGCTACAATAATGCCTTGATCACACAAAGGACAAGAACTATAATGATAACGGTTACTGGAAGTCCACTGATGAATAACTGGGTTAAGTCCAATTTATCAAATCTTATTTAAACATATTTAATTTGTTATAAATATTTCCTCAAAATCATTATTCGAAAGTACATATTTCTTGATAAATAAGTTTGCCTCTTAACAGTTTTGATAAAAAAATAAACATGTAACTTATAAAATGAGTTTTATTATTATTAAAATTATTAGAATGATATTACAAATGTTCAATTCTCTGATTATATAAACATTTTCTATCATTCTGAAAACATTCCTCAAAATATTATTAGAACGCTGATTTCTCTGGTTATAGAAACATTCTTTAAATGTTCTTCTATCTAAATGTTCTTTGTGAAAACACATTACACTGTTATTTAAATATTTAATTACATGGGATAAAAAATAAGTATTAAACATGTCACAATTTTTCTTAGAAGACATACTTCTAAAGCTGCTGTTGACTTTAAATTTTCCCTGGATGTGGGTAACAACTCAAAAAAACACATACGAGTAAATCTAATTAGTTTTAAAATTAAGTTATGCGTAATAAAATAAAATGACGCAGGGAAAAAGTATTGAACACATGAAGAAAGTGAGCTGTAGAAAGGCAGTAAAATGCCCAGACAGCTGCTTAAATTTCTCAGTAGTTATTGAGCAACCCTCTGCCCTTCCTCACTTTACATTAGTATTAGCAGCTTCAGTCCGACATCTACATTATCAGTGGGATGAAGATGAAACCGGGGTGGACATTTCAGCAAGACAATGATCCAAAACACAGCCAGAGAAACTCTCAAATGCTTTCAGAGAAAGAAATCATGCTGTAGAATGGCCCAGTCCATTACCTGTCTTAAATCTAACAGAAAATACAAATTAAAGATCAGATTTGATAGACGAGACTAACAGAACATCAAGATTTTCACACTCTGTTGACGTCTGTGAAAAACTCATACCTGAGCAGTTCATGTGACTTCATTCTCCATATGAGAGGCGTCTTTAAGCTGCCATCATTTTCAAAAGCTGTTCATATAAAGTAGTTTCAGTAGTTCAGTGCTTTCTCCTTGTGTCATTCAATTGTTACTACACATAACTCATTTTTCAGATTTTTTTTGTTTGTTTTATTTTTATGTTTGTATTGTTTGGGTTTTTACCAAAATCTGTTTCAATTTCTTGTCAACGGCTCCTTTAGAAATAATATTCCCGGGGAAAAAACATGACATGTTTAATACTTATTTCCCCCACTGTATATGGTTATATAAACATTTTCTTAGCATTTTATATTATTGGGATTTTCCAAATGTTATTTGAACATTCAATTCTCTGATCATTTAAATATTCTCTGAACGTTATTCTATGATTATGAAAAGTGTTTTACAAAACACTAGAACATTCAATTCTCGGGTGATGTAAAAGTTTACTATTGTAAAATAATATTGTCACCATGCTAAGACGTGTGGATGCTAAAAAAAGTTATTGTTATATTTACAGCTCTTTGTGTGAATGGGCCTCAGTGGTATGGTATGTGACTGTCTTCATCAGAAACAGCAGAGAAATTAACGTTAAACGATATGTATGCTGTTAGAAATGTTAAAAAGTGAAGAATGCGTACTGCGTCTCAGTCATTATTTTGAACAAAGCTCAATATTCAGTTCACTGCAGTTTACCTACTACTAAATGGCTCCAATTAAATATATGTTTTCAGAAAAAAATAAATGTTATTAAAAATATAATTTCTTACTCAAAAGCTCATTCGCATAGGCAAATAGCACATTGTTAAAAGGGTCTTCATGATGTTGGTGTTACACTCTATAAGACCATAGGTGCTCTTTTGTCATCTCTGATTAGAGCCAGTCAGATTAGAGCTCACTGTTTCTGCTAGTTTTGTTTGTAATGTGCAATGCACACAGATACGCATTTTGATGCTGACGCTACTTCATGTGAAAATATTTTAGATTACCTCTCCTTTCCAGTAGAGGGAGATATAGTAACACTCTCCTGCCATGACACACGGCTCATCCTTTCTGTGTATCACCAAAATGAACTACGATTTCCTCCTTGTTAATTATATGAATTTAACAAGCATGTCTTTAAAGTTCCCCCAAAATTAAAAAGCACATATTATATACTGCATGAACACACATTTTGTCTTTCCCCCTTGTGAAAAAGAAGTGTGCTTAATTTTGTTGAATGAGTCACTTGGTAATAGAGTACTTTGAAAAAACTAAATGGTTATATTTTTAAATATACGGTGATTTCATTTAATATAATTTTAATAGAATAAAAGACCACTTAGGTGTAGAAACAGTACAGTTTCCTATTATTATTTTTCTAAATAATTTAGAAACTATTTTTCTAAAGACTTGTTCCAAACCGGTTTGAGATTTATTTGTTTTGTTCTGTTGAACACGTTTCAACCACCTGTTTTTCACAAATGAGTATGGTAAACGTTTTACCTGCTATAAAAATGTTAACGAACTACCGTGCACTTTTATTTACAAAATTCTAACATGCCTTCAAAAAAGTCATGTGATTTTGTTTTAACAGATTGTGTGATAGCAAAATCGGCAGGAAGGGACAGGTATATTTGGGTAGGGGAAGAGAAACAAACATTTTTAAATGTAATATATGAGATAGAAAGTGACGACCATTTCTCCGTCATCAAAGAACTGAACTTCTGTTGTTGTTCTGTTCTGATGTTCTGAGGCGCAGGTAATTTATTACATAAGAAAAAGGGTTCACAGTGGTTTCTCCCACTGCAGCAAATTGCATTTTTCTTTTTTATATTTGGTGCCAGTTAATTGGAAAATGAGGATTTTGTTCTTTTTGACGATTTTTATGACTTATTGGTTTGCAGTATTCCAGATTTGAGCATACGTTTAATTAGCATCTTTGGATGGAAACACTGAAACTGACATCCGTAGTATTTGTTTACCCTACTATGTGTTTCCCAGTTTTTAACATTTTTCAAAATATATTTATATTTTGTGTGTTAAACAGAACAAAAAAGAAAACATTTCCTGGAAAAGTATTAGGGTATATTATAATATACCCTATAGTATTAGTAATTATAGTATTAGAATAAATTATTTTATTTTTAGGTGTCTTATCCATTTAAATTGTTTGAAATTTAAGTCATGATAATTAACAATACTCTGACATTTTTTTAAGACAAAATGTTTTAATATTACTTGATTAAAAGTGTCCATTTTAAATTAACTAAAATTTTCAGTGCTTCAGTGCTAGTTTTTTTTCTTTCTTTTTTTTGTGCTTTACAACTAAATATTGTGTATTTTAAGGGTAAATGCTTAACGCATTTGTAGTGTTTTGTTCTGGTATTAAAAGTAGATATTTTATAGAAATGTATTATCTCTTCAGGGTAAAAATGGACACAAATGCATTGTGTCTAATATAAGTACATTAAAGGGATAGTTCAACCAAAAATTAATGTACTCAACATCAAGTGGTTCCAAAATTTTCCTTTTTATTTTCTTTTGAACACAAAAGACACCAGTAACCATTGACATCCATAGTAAGAAAAAAATACAATAGATGTCAATTCCAGATAGCATACGAATGTGGGCCAGTTTAGGCAGTTATGCGGCACTGATTGTCTTCCTTCGGCCCAGACAAAATGAATGTGAGCCTGAAGTGGCCCACCTATACAATCGCAAAAGGGGGCCAAAGATTCCAATTCATATTTGGGCCATTTAAGGCAAAGATTCGGCACTTATGGCAAAATGTAACCTGAATAGAAGCCTAATGTGGCCCATGCAAAAAATGGTCAATTTGGCCCAAATGACGGAGGACAAATGTGGTCCACAGTTAGCCAAAGTGTGGCTTAGTCATTTAAGGGCAATCTGGGTCTAAACCCAAAGTGGCTCACATGTGTAAGTGCAAATGTGACCCAGTTATCTTAAGACATATGGTGGCCACTCTTGGCGAATATTTGGCACAGTAAGCTCTGTCTAATGTGGCTGTTACCCTACAGTGGCCTAGAAAAGATATTAAAAAAGGTGGCCCAGATATGTTAAAACATATATGGGCCACCTTTGGCAAATATTTGGCACAGTAAACTCTGGAAAAATGTGGCTGTTAGCATATAGTGGCGCATAGAATATATGGCAATTGTGACCCAGTTATCTTAAAACATATGTAGGCTACTTTTGGCAAATATTTGGCACAGTAAGCTCTGGTTAATGCGGATTTGAGCCTATAGAGGCCCAGAAAAGATATGGCAAATGTGGCCGTTATCCTAAAACAAATGTGGACCACTTTTGGTAAATATTTAGCACTGTAAGCTCTGACTAATGTGGCTGTGAACCTAAAGTGACCCAAAGAAGATATGGCAAATGTGACCCAGTTATCCTAAAACAAATGTGGACCACTTTTGGCGAATATTTCGCACAGTTGGCTGTGGCTAATGTGGCTGTGAACCTAAAGTGGCCAGAGATGATATGGCAAATGTGGCCCAGTTACCTGAAAACATATGTGGACCACTTTTGGCGAATATTTGTCACAGTAAACTTTGACTAATGTGGCTGTTAGCCTATAGTAGCCCTGATGCGATATGGCAAATATGGCCTAGTTATCATAAAACATATGTAGGCCACCTTTGGCAAATATTTGTCACTTTAAGCTTTGGCTAATGTGGATTTGAGCCTATAGTGGCCCAGAGAAGATATGGCAAATGTGGCCCAGTTATCCTAAAACACATGTGGGCCACTTTTGGCAAATATTCAGCACAGTAAACTCTGGCTAATGTGGTTATTAGTCTATAGATGAGATATGGCAAATACGGGCAAGTATCTCTGGCTGAAGATGATGTGAGCTCAATGCAGCTGAGGAAAGATGTGGTAGGGATGGTACTGTTGTCCTAAAACATATGATAGGTCACTTTTGGTAAAGTACAGTGATCATTTGAAAATTATAGAGGTCAAACCATAGCTCTTTGACATGGCACATATAGATAGTAATATAGCTAATTTGTGGCCCAGATCTGGCGAACCGCAGCGGACCACCCTAGATCCATCATTCCATTGAGTATGTGGTCCGGATGTAAGTGTCTAGTGTGGGCCAGATTTGGGCCAGAATAAAAGCAAACTGTGGCCCAGAATAGGGTCAGTTCTGGTTCATTTGGTTGAATTCTGGCTGATATGTGGTATTGCTATGGCTTAATTGTGGCCTAGCTCTGGCAAACAGGAGTGGACCACCCAAGTGCCATCATTCTATGCAGTATGTGGGCCGGATGTAAGTGTCTGGCGTGGGCCTGATTTAAGCCACATGAATTTTGCTCGCTGGGATGGTTACCGGTTTCCAACATTCTTCCAAATATGCAATTGTGTGCAATGTAAGAAACAAACCCACAACAGGTTTAATACTAGTGAAGGGTGAGTAAACTCTTTAGTATATGAAACGTTTCTATGAAAAGTACTCTTTTTAAAACTATGATCTAGTGTACTTCTTTTCACAAGGGGTCCCAAATATGCACTCACTAACACAAACATGCATGAACCCAAGCTGTCACAGACATTTTATAAGGCCTCTGTCCAAGACTGTCCAGTTTAGGTGTGAGTCTTGATGTGTTTGTATGTGAGAGATTTTGATGCTCATTACAAACACACGGGCTGATCAAACACTAATCCGTCCCTCTTCCTCCTCCATCTGTGTGTGCAGCGAGGAACCAAACCCAAAAAGGTGCCGCATGTTTCTCAAACCTCTGTTTCCATAGCAGTGGCAGTATTTAGTCGCTCTGTTGCATGGCATCACACAAACAGCACTTTACCTGTGTGTGTGTGTGTGTGTGTGTGTGTGTGTGTGTGTGTGTGTGTGTGTGTGTTTGTGTTCATGAGAAGTGTTTGCGTCTGCAGTATATTGTTTCTTTTAATTTTATGTACATTTATTCATGCGTTCTAGTGCTTCACCGGCTGGATGGCAGTTTTCTTTGATGAATGACTGCTTTTAAATGGATATTACGAATTAGCCTGCTGTGTTTATTGCTGTAGATTGTGGGAGAGAAAGAGATTTTAAGTTTCTTGTTAATGGTTTAATTCACCTTTTATCTTATAGGTTGTCTGTGTGAAGCATGTACATGTATATTTGTTATAACTGACATAAAGGACTCTATGTTGACGATTCATGCACAAAGTGCAAAGTGCAGGGCGCAAAAGCATTAAGGGTGTGTCGGAATCCACTTTTACTAATTTAAGGACGGAAAAATCCGCACTGCGCCGTATCGCATGGTCTAAAAGGGTAGAGCTTATTTTCTTAATGAGTTATAGGGGTGTTTTGAGAATAAACCAATCAGAGTCTCATCTACCATTCCCTTTAGGAGCCAGTTGCGTCATGCCATAGCGCATTTGCTGTTTACATGACAGATTTTTTAATTGGAAAAACTGAGCATTTCACTAGCAAGAAAACAGTTAAACAGAGCATCTACAGCGCGAGAATGAGAGATAAGCCTCCTCATTATTTACTTTCACTTTCACTCTCGTGGATTGGGAAACTTATTGTACGCACAGACATCCATTAGCCTATAAATAATAGATTTGTTTGTTAAGTGCAAAGATTTGTTGCAAAACTATTTCTAAATTCAGTCCTAATTTCCAGCAAATGAAAAAAATTAACAATAACAACGAAGTGTGCTGTACCCCATATGGTTTGAAACCTGACAGGTGGGCAAATCTAAGCTTGTTTTTTTAATAAAACAAATATAAATATGCAAGTAATAAATAATACTGCTAATAATAATAACATTATACAAAATCAAATTGTCATGAATAAACTGAAAAAGCGTATTGCTTTACATTCTGTTTTATTAAGCAATGTGTAACGGAGGCGCACAACTAACACACTCTGCGCTGGATTTTAGACCGGCTTTGTTCTGGTCTTTTGAACAGTCTATTATAATTTCTCAAAATAGTCACGCTAGCAATGCGCCTTAACACACCTTCTTTTTTAGACCAGAACGCCTATGGGCGCACATATACGCGCAAATGCATTTGCTATTTAAAAAGCGTGGTGCAAAACGTCAAAACAACTCTTGCGCCAAGCTCAAACTAGCAAACAACAATTGCGTCGCGCCTTGCGCTGCATTGTGCCGAGTGTATGATAGGGCCCAAAATGTACATTGAATTGCTGCAGATGGGTCAGATATTAAATAGGGGTTTTCATGTATCGAAATGGTAAAGTATAATACAGCCTTAACTTTTACCCCATACATTTTTTTTGTACTCACAAAGTTTGGGACAGAAAGGAAAACCAAATCAAAAAAGCAATAAGTGATTTCTAAATTTACGCTGACTTGTATTTCCTTGCAGACAATACACTAAACATTATTTAACGTGTTCCTCATGATTTTATTTATTTTTTTATTTTTAAATGAACACGTTTTCCAATTTTGGTTCTTCCAACACATTTAAAAAAAAAAGTTGGAACAGTAAAGCATTTACCACTTTGTGATGTTGCCATTCCTTTTCATAACCTTTAAAAGATGTTTAGAGACTGAAGAGTGATGAAGTATTTCAGGTTTATTTTGTCTCATTCTTCATTCAAACAAGATCTAATTGGCTGATGCTTCCATTGGCGCCTAAAAAGTCAAGAAATCTCTAACTTCTGCAGCGAGCTAAAGCAGTGCAGACAGACCCATAATTCTGTTCGACAACGCTTGACGTCACCTATTCAAAGTGAATGGGAAGCGTTGACGCTGACGCCTCATGTGAATGGGGTGTTAAAAGATGACTAAAGACACCAAGTGATGAAGTGTGTCAGGTGTAATTTTGTTCCATTCTTTGTTCAAACCAGTCTTAAGGTAGGCAACAGTATGGGGTCTTCGTTGTCACATTTTGCACTTCAAAATGCGCCACACATTCTCTGTTGGAGACAGGTCAGGACAGCAGGCAGGCCAGTCAAGTACTTGTATCCTCTTCGTCTGCAGTCAGGGCTTTGTAGTGTGTGCAGAATTTGGTTTTGCATTGTCTTGTTAAAATATGCATGGGTGTGCCTGGAAAAAAGGCAGCATATTGTGCTCCAAAGTCTTTATGTACTTTTCAGCAATAATGGTGCAATCACACAAGTGCAGGTTATTTTTGCCAAGGGCACTGACACAACCCTATACCATGACAGACCCTGGTTTTTGGACTTGTTGCTGGTAACAGTTTGGATGATCCTTTTCTTCTTTGCACCAGAGCACACAGTGTCCATTTCTCCCCAGAAATACCTGAAATACTGATTCATCTGACCACAGTACTTGTTTCCTCTGTGTGAGGGTCCATCCCAGATGCCTCCAAGCCCAGAAAAGTCAACGAGGCTTCTTGACATTGTTAACATAGAGCTTCCTTTTGTATCCGGTCCATCTTTGCTCCTAAAGGACTAGACCTTTCTAGAGTGCTGCTTTTGTACCAAATCTTAATTACAATCACCTGTTGACATTATCTGTTTTAAACCACACCATTGTTTAACCAATTTACTTGATTACTTGCTCTAAATTCCAATTTCTTTGGAACGCGTTGCAGGTGTGAAGGACAGGAAAGGATTAATCTTTACAAATGAAATGAAGTTGACCAGACAAAACATGAAATACGTTGTGTTCAAAGTAAATTTGGAAATGACTACTTTCTTTTTTATTAGCATTTTCCATACTGCCTTAACCTTTTCTGATTTGGGGTTGTAACGTACTGTTAAATTTAAATAATAATATGAATATATTTTTGAATATAAATATACAATATTAATATAGTGTTTTCTGTGGATCTATTCAAGATTTAGAAGATTTAAGTAAATAAATGTCATAACATTAAATGTAGAAAATACGTTAAATTAAATACTATTCCATAAGGCTACATTTTGAAAGTGCATGCAGGAGCATGTTTACTGTTACTGATGTTTTCAGGTTTGTGTGTGATGAAAGACTGAGAGAGATATTGTAGTAAGTGCTTCCTTCCCTCTGGCTTGGCATTGGCTCTCTTGTCATTAGATCGCCACTGAAATATTGGACTTGAAAGCTCAGCTTGTGCATCCCTGCGTTTTCTTCTAAATGTCAGCGCTTGAGGAAAGGGTATTTAAGAGGTTTTCTAGTTCAGCCTGTCAGTATGGATTGTTTTGAAGCTTTTTCTATGATGGTCAAAGTACAAATGGAGGGCCTGTGCTTGTTTGGCTTCAAACCTTCACTCTTTTTGAATTGTACTATAAACATTTGTCAGTATAGGATCTAATTCTTTACTATAATATTAACTTATGATTGTCAGTGATTATGATCATCTTGGTGGATTCATTAATGTCTGAAAAACAGAAACAGGGTCTGTATAATTCAAAATTATAAAGAAAATAATACTGTTAGACAAAATTAGCAAAGCATGTATCATCAAGGAGTTGCGAGTGTGCAATAATAACATTCATTCATTCAATCCCTTTATTAATCTGGGGTCGCCACAGCGGAATGAACCTCTAACTTATCTAGCCAGACTTTACGCAGCGGATGCCCTTCAGCCGCAATCCATCCCTGGGAAAGCAATACACCGCAAAAAATGCTTTTCTTGCTTAGATTTTTTGACTTATTTCTAGTGCAAATGTCTAAAATTTCTTATATCAAGAAGCATTTTCTAGACAAGCAAAACATATTGTCTTGTTTTGAGAAATAATATGCCAAAATTAAGTGAGTTTTTCCTTAAAACAAGCAAAATAATCTGCCAATGGGGTAAGCAAAATAATCTTTTTTTTTTCTTTTGACGTAAGATTATTTTGCTTACCCCTTTGCTTGTTTTAAGGAAAAACTCAAAAGCATTTTGAGAAAAAGCATTTTTTGCAGTGTAATAACAATAACAACATTAAATAAAAATAATAATATCTCAATATTTTTCTCATATTTATATTGTTTCAATACACTCACTGGCCTCTTTATTAGATACATCTGTCCAACTGCTCATTAACACAAATTTCTAATCAGCCAATCACTTGGCAGCAATGACATGTAGACATGGTCAAGACGAACTGCTGTAGTTCAAATCGAGCATCAGAATGCGGAAGAAAGATGATTTAAGTGACTTTGAACATGGTTGTTGGTGCCAGACGGGCTGGTCTGAGTATTTCAGAAACTGCTGATCTACTGGGATTCTCACGCACAACCATCTCTAGGGTTTACAGAGAATGGTCAGAGAAGGGGAAAAATTCCAGTGAGTGGCAGTTCTGTGGGTGCAAATGCCTTGTTGATGCCAGAGGTCAGAGGAGAATGGCCAGACTGGCTTGAGCTAATAGAAAGGCAACAGTAACCACTTGTTACAACTGAGGTATGCAGAACAGCATCTCTGAATGCACAACACGTCCAACCTTAAGGTGGATGTGATACAGCAGCAGAAGACCATACCGGGTATTAGTAAGGTGTACCTAATTAAATGGCCAGTGAGTGCCTTTGATTTGACTCAGGATATAGACACCACAAATATTTTTTTTAACACCAATGAACACAGAATATAAGGGAAATCATAAAAACCTGAGGGATATTTTTGCTTTTAAAGCCATTCTAACTGCATTCTGTTTTATCATGCAGTGAATTCTTAGCATTGTTAGCATTATATTTTGTTCTAAACAATAACATTATGTTTTTAAAAAGCAGAGGTATTTTTAAAAAGGCGTAGCATTAAAAAAATGTACATGTTATTTTAAAAGCTCTTGCAAGTGTTATCATATAAATACAGAATCTA